AAAATCCTGATTTTTTGGCACAAACCCCCCATTTTTATGGGAAAAAAATCCCAATTTTTTGACCCGAATTCCCCATTTTTTCCCTAAAATCCCGTTTTTATGGGAAAAAAAAATAGAATTTTTTGGCTTGAATTCCCCATTTTTATATGAAAAAAATCCCAATTTTTTGACACAAACCCCCCATTTTTATATGAAAAAAATCCCAATTTTTTGGCACAAATTCCCCATTTTTATGGGAAAAAAAATTTGAATTTTTTTGCACAAATCCCCCATTTTCATACAAAAAAAATCCTGATTTTCTGGGACAAATACCCCATTTTTATNTGGGGGATTCTGGGAAAAAATGAGGAAAAAATTGGGGAATTCTGGGAAAAAATGGGGAATTCTGGGGGAAATTGAGGAAAAAATTGGGGAATTCTGGGAAAAAATGGGGGATTCTGGGAGAAAATTGAGGAATTCTGGGAAAAAATGAGGAAAAAAAAGGGGAATTCTGGGAAAAAATGGGGGAATCTGGGAGAAAATGGGGAATTCTGGGAAAAAATGGGGGATTCTGGGAGAAAATTGGGAATTCTGGGGGGAAAATGGGGAATTCTGGGGGGAAATGGGGGATTCTGGGAGAAAATGAGGAATTCTGGGGGGAAATGGGGAATTCTGGGAAAAAATAGGGAATTCTGGGAGAAAATGGGGAATTCTGGGAAAAAATGAGGAAAAAAATTGGGGAATTCTGGGGAAAAATGGGGAATTCTGGGGGAAAATGAGGAAAAAATTGGGGAATTCTGGGAAAATTTGAGGAAAAAATAGGGAAATTTGGGGGAGAAAATTGGGGAATTCTGGGGGAAATGGGGAATTCTGGGAAAAAATGGGAGATTGTGGGAAAAAATGGGGAATTCTGGGGGAAAATGGGGGATTCTGGGGGGAAATGGGGAATTCTGGGAAGAAATGGGGAATTCTGGGGGAAAATGGGGGATTCTGGGAAAAAATGAGGGAAAAATTGGGGAATTCTGGGAAAAATTGAGGAAAAAATTGGGGAATTCTGGGAAAAAATGAGGATTCTGGGAAAAAATGAGGGAAAAATTGGGGAATTCTGGGAAAAATTGAGGAAAAAATTGGGGAATTCTGGGAAAAAATGAGGAAAAAATTGGGGAATTCTGGGAAAAAATGGGAAAAAATTGGGGATTCTGGGAGAAAATAGGGAATTCTGGGAAAAAATGGGGAATTCTGGGGGAAAATGAGGGAAAAATTGGGGAATTCTGGGAAAAAATGGGGGATTCTGGGTGAAAATGGGGAATTCTGGGAGAAAATGAGGAAAAAATTGGGGAATTCTGGGAAAAAATGGGGGATTCTGGGGGAAAATGGAAAATTCTGGGAAAAAACGGGGGATTCTGGGAAAAAATAAGGAAAAAAATGGGGAATTCTGGGAAAAAATGGGGAATTCTGGGGGAAAATGGGAAAAAATTGGGGAATTCTGGGAAAATTTGAGGAAAAAATAGGGAAATTTGGGGGAGAAAATTGGGGAATTCTGGGGGAAAATGGGGGATTCTGGGGGAAAATGAGGAAAAAAATTGGGGAATTCTGGGAAAAAATGGGGGATTCTGGGAGAAAATTGGGAATTCTGGGGGGAAATGAGGGAATTCTGGGGGGAAAATGGGGAATTCTGGGGGGAAATGGAAAACTCTGGGAAAAAATGAGGAAAAAATTGGGGAATTCTGGGAAAAATTGAGGAAAAAATTGGGGAATTATGGGAAAATTTGAGGAAAAAATAGGGATATTTGGGGGAGAAAATTGGGGAATTCTGGGGAAAATGGGGGATTCTGGGGGAAAATGAGGAATTCTGGGAAAAAATGAGGAAAAAATTGGGGAATTCTGGGAAAAAATGGGAAATTCTGGGAAAAAACAGGGGATTCTGGGAAAAAATGAGGAAAAAATTGGGGAATTCTGGGAAAAAATGAGGAAAAAGTAGGGAAATTTGGGGGAGAAACTTGGGGAATTCTGGGGGAAAATGGGGGATTCTGGGGAAAATGGGGAATTCTGGGAGAAAATGGGGAATTCTGGGAAAATTTGAGGAAAAAATGGGGAATTCTGGGGAAAAAAATTGAGGAATTCTGGGAAAAATTTGAGGGAAAAAATGGGGAATTCTGGGAAAAATTTGAGGAAAAAATCAGGGAATTTTTGGGAAAAAATTGAGGAATTCTGGGAAAATTTTGAGGGCAAAAATGGGGAATTCTGGGAAAAAATGGGGAAAAAATTGGGGAATTTTGGGGAAAAAATTGAGGAATTCTGGGAAAAATTTTGAGGGAAAAATTGGGGAATTCTGGGAAAAATTTTGAGGGAAAAAATGGGGAATTTTGGGGAAAAAATTGAGGAATTCTGGGAAAAATTTTGAGGGAAAAAATGGGGAATTTTGGGGAAAAATTTGAGGAATTCTGGGAAAAATTTGAGGAAAAAATTGGGGAATTTTTGGGAAAAAATTGAGGAATTCTGGGAAAAATTTGAGGAAAAAATTGGGGAATTCTGGTAAAATTTGGGGGTTCTAGGAAACATCTGGAGGAAAAAATTGGGGAATAAAAGTGAAAACTTGGGAAAAACGAGGGGATTTCAAGGAAATTCGGGGAGAATCTGGTAGAAAAAAATGAGGAATTCAGGAAAAAAAAATTGGAAAATTCTGGGAAAAATCAGGTTTTGGGGAGAATTTGGAGGGATTTGGTCTAAATTTATGGAGAAATTCCTAAAATGTTGGTTTTTTTTCATTAATTTCCTTTTTTTTTTCCTCCCCCAGGGTCAGGATCTTCTGGAATTACGCCGTCACATCCATGAGAATTCCGTGGATTTTTTGACTGTCAAGATTTTGATCCAAAGGGTTTTTGCTCCTTGTAAATGCCTGGAAATCCATGGAAAAAACCAGGAAAATTCCAAGGTTTGAATCCAATTAAACACAACCAAAAAAAAAAATAAATTGGGAATTTTAAACCAAGAAAATGTTGAAATTTTGAAGATTTTTTTATTTTTTTCCCACAGGAAATCTCAGAATTCCCAAAAAATTCCCGGATCTGCCGCGGTCACGAGCGCTCCATCCCCATCCAGGAATTGGTGGAAACCTTGGATCTTCGGGAAGAGGGTGAAAAATTAAGAATCAACTCCTAAAATTCCACTCCCAGATCCCCAAAATCCAATTTTTTCCAATTTTTTTCCTGCCTGCCTCCCAAATTTCCTTCAAATTCCTCAATTTTCTGCAATTCCTTCCCAAATTTTTCCCCAAGTTTCCCAAAATTCCCCAATTTTTTCTTAAATTTTCAGGGAATTTCCCAAATACTCAAAATTTTCTTGAGATTTTCCAATTTCTTCCCCAATTTCCTCAAATTTTTCCAATTTTATTCCTCAAAATCCCCCAGATTTCCTTTCAATCTCCTCATTTTTCCCAATTTTCCCAGAATTCCTCAATTTTTGCCCCAAACTTTCCCAAAATTCCCCAATTTTTCCCAGAATTCCTCAATTTTTATCCCAAATTCTCCCAGAATTCCCCATTTTTTCCCCAAATCCCTTCATTTATTTTTCTTATTTTTCCACATTTTTTCCCAATTTTTCCCCAAATCTCAAAAATTCCACCCAAATCTCCCCAATTTTTCCCAATTTTCCCAAATCCTCTCCCCAAATCTCCCATTTTTCCCCAAATTTCCCCAATTTTTTCCAAATTTTCCCCAATTTTCCCCAATTTTCCCAAATTCTCTTCTCTAATCCCCCAAATTTTCCCAATTTTTCCCCAATTTTCCCAATTTTTCCCAAATTCTCTCCCTAAATCCCCCAATTTTTCCCAAATTTTCCCAAATTCCCTCAAATATCCCAATTTTTCCCAGATTTCCCCAAAATCTCCCCATTTTCCCCCCAATTTTTCCAAATTCTTTTGCCAAATTACCCAATTTTTCCAGAATTCCCCATTTTCCCTCAATTTTTTCCCAATTTTCCCCAATTTTCCCCCAAATCTCCCCAAATCCCCCAAATTTTTCCCAATTCCTCCCCAATTTTCCCCAATTTTTCTGAAATTCTCTCCTAAAATCCTCAATTTTTCCCAATTTCTCCCCAATTTTCCCCAATTTTCCCAATTTCTCTCCCAAATCCCCAATTTTTCCCCAATTCTCCCCAATTTTTCCAAATTTTCCCAATTTTTCCCAATTTTTCCCAAGTTCTCTCCCCAAATCCCCCAATTTTCTCAAATTCTCTCCTAAAATCCTCAATTTTTCCAAATTTCTCCCCAATTTTCCCCAATTTTTTCCCAAATCCTTGCATTTTTTTCCAATTTTTCCCCATTTTTTCCAGTTTTTCCCCAATTTTCCCCCAAATTTTCCCAAATTCTCCTAAAATCCCCAATTTTCCCCAATTTCTCTCCAATTTTCCCAAATTCTCTCCTAAAATCCTCAGTTTTTCCCATTTTTTACCAATTTTCCCAATTTTTACCAATTTTTCCCCAAATCCCTTCATTTTTTTCCAATTTTTCCTCATTTTTTCCAGTTTTTTCCCAATTTTCCCCAATTTTTCCCAATTTTCCCCCAAATCCCCCAAATTTTTCCCAATTTCTCCCCTATTTTCCCCAAATTTTTCCCAAATTCTCTCCTAAAATCCCCAATTTTTCCCAATTTTTCCCAATTTTTCCCAATTTTCCCAATTTCTCTCCCCAAATCCCCCAATTTTTCCCAATTTCTCCCCAATTTTTCCCCAATTTTCCCCAATTTTTGCCCAAATCCCTTCATTTTTTTCCAATTTTTCCTCATTTTTTGCAGTTTTTCCCCAATTTTTATCAATTTTTCCCAATTTCTCCCCAATTTTCCCCAATTTTTCTCAAGTTCTCTCCTAAAATCCCCAGTTTTTCCCCAATTTTCCCCAATTCTCTCCCCAAAATCCCCAAATTTTTCCCAATTTTTCCCCCAAATTTTCCCAATTTTTCCCAATTTCTCCCCAATTTTTCCCAAATTTTCCCAAATTCTCCTAAAATCCCCAATTTTTTCCAATTTCTCCCCAATTTTCCCAAATTCTCCTAAAATCCCCAATTTTTCCCAATTTTCCCCCAATCTCCCCAAATTTCCCCAATTTTTTCCCAAATCCCTTCATTTTTTTTCAATTTTTCCCCATTTTTTCCAGTTTTTTCCCAATTTTTCCAATTTTCCCCAATTTCTCCCCAATTTTCCCCAATTCTCTCCCCAAATCCCCCAAATTTTTCCCAATTTCTCCCCAATTTTCCCAAATTTTCCCAAATTCTCTCCTCTAATCCCCCAGGTTTTCCCAATTTTTCCCCAATTTTCCCAAATTCTCTCCTAAAATCCTCAATTTTTCCCAATTTTCCCCCAAATCTCCCAATTTTTCCCAATTTTTCCCCAATTCTCTCCCCAAAATCCCCAAATTTTTCCCAATTTTCCCCCAAATCTCCCAATTTTCCCAAATTTTCCCAATTTCTCTCCCCAAATCCCCCAATTTTTCCCAATTTCTCCCCAATTTTCCCCAATTTTTCCCAAATTCTCTCCCCAAATCCCCCAATTTTTCCCAATTTCTCCCCAATTTTTTCCCTATTTTCCCCAATTTTCCCAAATTCTCCTAAAATCCCCAATTTTCCCAATTTTTCCCAATTTTCCCCCAAATTTTCCCAAATTTCCCCAATTTTTTCCCAAATCCCTTCATTTTTTTCCAATTTTTCCTCATTTTTTCCAGTTTTTTCCCAATTTTTCCCAAATTTTCCCAATTTCTCTCCCAAAAATCCCCCAATTTTTCCCAAATTTCCCCCAAATCCCCCAAATTTTTCCCAATTTCTCCCCAATTTCTCCCCAATTCTCCCAAATTCTCCTAAAATCCCCAATTTTTCCCAATTTTCCCCCAAATCTCCCCAAATTTCCCCAATTTTTTCCCAAATCCCTTCATTTTTTCCAATTTTTCCTCATTTTTTCCAGTTTTTTCCCAAATTTTCCCAATATTTCCCAATTTTCCCAAATTCTCTCCCCAAAATCCCCAAATTTTTCCCAAATTTCCCCCAAATCTCCCAATTTTTCCCAATTTTTCCCAATTTCTCCCCAATTTTCCCAAATTCTCTCCCCAAAATCCCCAAAATTTTTCCAAATTTTCCCCCAAATCCCCACATTTTTCCCAATTTTTCCCCATTTTTCCCAATTTCTCCCCAATTTTCCCACAAATCTCCCCAATTTTTCCCAATTTTCCCCAATTTTCCCCCAAATCTCCCCAAATCCCCCAAATTTTTCCCAATTTCTCCCCAATTTCTCCCCAATTTTCCCAAATTCTCCTAAAATCCCCAATTTTTCCCAATTTTCCCCCAAATCTCCCCAAATTTCCCCAATTTTTTCCCAAATCCCTTCATTTTTTTCCAATTTTTCCTCATTTTTTCCAGTTTTTTCCCAAATTTTCCCAATATTTCCCAATTTTCCCAAATTCTCTCCCCAAATTCCCCTAATTTTTCCCAAATTTCCCCCAAATCTCCCAATTTTACCCCAATTTTCCCAAATTCTCTCCTAAAATCCCCAATTTTTTCCAATTTTTCCCCAAATTTCCCCAATTTTTTCCCAAATCCCTTTATTTTTTTCCTATTTTTCCCCAACTTTTCCCCAATTTTCCTGAATTCTCTCCCCAAATCCCCCATTTTTCCCAATTTTTCCCCAATTTTTACGATTTTCCCTCAATTCTCCTAAATTTCCCAAATTCTCTTCCCAAATCCCCCCAAATATCCCAATTTTTTCCCAATTTCTCCCCAATTTTCCCACAAATCTCCCCAATTCTCCCAATTTTCCCCAATTTTCCCAATTTCTCTCCCCAAATCCCCCAATTTTCCCTCAAATCTCCCAATTTTCCCAAATTTTCCCCCAAATCTCTCCCCAAATCCCCCAAATTTTCCCAATTTCTCCCCAATTTTTCCCCATTTTTCCCCAATTTTTTCCCAAATCCCTTCA